CCCCAGCCTGGCTCCCTGGGGGCAGCAGGGGAGGGGAGAGGAGCATGCAGTGCCAGGGGCACGCGTGGGCACAGCTGAACTCCCTCCCCTCACACGTGGGAGAAAGCATGGCTCTTGCAGAGCGGCTTGTCCTTCTTGGAGTAGAATGTCTTCCCTTCCAGGTTGGTCTGGCAGATCTGGGGAGGAGATCAGGTCAGGTCAGGGGCGCTGAGCCAGCCCCTGGGTCCCCCCCTACAACCCAGGGCTCAGCACCAGCATTGCACAGATGCCAGGAACCAGCAGGCTCAGAGCAGGGTCCCAAGCCACCAGTGCAGAACAAAGTGGGGAAAACCTTGTGGCAGCAGGGACCTTACACTGCTGGTGTACCCCATGCAGGGCACAACTGCCAGGGAGAGCCACGGCCCCCACCAGCAGCCGGGGAGGGAGGCACATGGCTCACCGCACAGACGAAGCAAGTGTCGTGCCAGCTGAACCCCAGCGCCTCCAGGAACCGGTCCCCAGCATCAATCTTGAAGTCGCAGCCGCGGCACTTGGTGCCAAACATCTTCTCATAGTCTGCGAGGAGAGGCAGAGCCCAGGTCAGCGTTCCCTGGCACTGCAGCCCCTCGTCCCAGGGGAGCAGGGCTGCAGCACAGCCGTGATCCCACAGGCACAGCCTGGGGACAACTCGCTGCCAGCCCCGGGGGGACGAAGCCCAAGACACCCAGGCGAGATGCCTGTGCCGTGCAGGGTGGCCCCAGCCACCACCGGGCTGCAGGGAGGAGGCAAACCTCATCTCCCAGGATGCAGCACTCGCCTTTGATGTACATCCTCCGTCATTGCCATGGCAACATGGGAGTGATGGCATTACCCAGCAGCCGGGGAGGACCGGGATGGAGGACTCAGGGCCGCAGGAGATGGGTCCCTGCCTTCCCCAGGGCCTGGGGAGAGCCCCGCAGCACAGGACAGTTCACCCCCCACCCCCGTGGGCAGGTGCTGAGCCCTGACAGTGCCCGGTGCCCCAGGGCCATGCGGGGTGGCACGTGGGGTCCCTGGTCCTACCTCTCTCACAGTAGGGCTGTCCCTCCTCCATGTAGAAGGCACGGTTGCGGATGGGAGTTTTGCAGGCAGCACAGGTGAAGCACTGCACATGCCAAGTCATCTTCAGCGCGTGCATGACCTCCTGGAGGGGAACTGCTGTCAGCCGGGGGCAGGACCTCCCTGCACCACAGAGGACCCCCCCCAGGACAGAAAGGGACAAAGGATCCCCGGGGATGGGATCAGGACAGGAAGGAACAGAGCTGAGAACCCACAGGTGAGCAGGGAGCAGGGACAGGAGGTGTGGGGCAGGCTGAGGGACACTCACCCCGGTGATCTTCTTCTTGCACTTGGCGCAGCTGGGCGCATAGCGCGTGTCATAGCATTTGGGGCAGAAGATGGAGCCTTTCTCCTCAAAGAAGCCACCCTCATCCAGCACCTTCCTGCACTGGCAGCAGGTGAACTCCTCGGGGTGGTAATAATGTCCCAGTGCCACCAGATAGCGTCCCCTGCAGCGGGACAGAGCCATGTCAGCCACGACGGGGCCCAGGACGCTGGCATGGCGGCAGTGGTGGCCAGGGCTCACCTGATGACCTTGTTGCACTTGTAGCAGAGGGGCG